AATGACTTTGTTCGTAATACTTACTGACCTATGATAGAAAAATTCAATAAATATTGGAAAGATAGTAATCTATTATATATGATTGCATGTATTCTCGATCCCTGCTATAAGTTGTAGCTTATCTCATTTTATTACTATAAAAATGAAAATCAAGAAAATATTGATGAAAAAATACAGGATATCCAAACAAAGTATGTATATAATATAATTATAATATAAATTTATTTTATTAACATTTTAACAATTTAGGTTCGAAGATCTGTATCTTGCATATTATTTTCTGTTGAATTACTTTTCATCAGATATTGAATAGCATGTAATAAATAGTGAAGATCCTAGCATTGAAGATAAAGTGTTAATATTTGAAAGTCAACTTGATGATTTTTTTGAATATACTAAAAAAAAAAACCAAACTAATCAACCTGACTCACTTCGGGAAGTCAAGCAGTATCTTGATGAAAATATTGTTGATAAGACACTGATATTCTTGAATGGTAGAGGCTTAATAAAAGTCAGTTTCCAAATTTATCTGCAATGGCCCAAGATATTATTGCTATACCAGCAACAAGCATTGTATCCAAACAGATATTTAGCTATGCTGGTTATATTATTGATGAAGAATGCACTTTGTTAGATCCAAGTACAATAGCTGCACTAATATACTAGCAAAATTGGCTAGAAGTGTCAACTAAATTTGGATGGGTTTATAATTATGTGAATATATTTAAATATTACATTTTAATTTGTTTTTAATATAGTATTTGCTTGTATGTAACTAGAAATTTTAAATATAATAAACTGAAATTTATTTTGCATTTCTAATTGGGTCTATTTATAAAATTCTTACTTGTTAATTATTAATTGTTAATCAGATAAAATTTCTAAAATTCTAAATTGACTTTTAATTTATATTTTCGATTTATTATATTTATATTTATTTTAAAAAAATTTTATAATCAATTTAGCTATTAAATATTTAATTCAATATATATTTAAAATATTCAGATTTAATACTTAAATATTTTAATAATTAAGTTTTTTATTTATTTAATTTATTGATTTGCAAAATTCCAAATTCTTTGATCGCTTAAGCAATGATCATCACTTTACAATTAATTGTGACTACAATTAATTGTAAAATAATGATCATTGCTTAAGCAATCAAAGACTTTGGAATTTTAAAATCATAATAATGAATTACAGTACATTTAGAATTCTGCTGCAATTTAAATAATATGTTTTTGTAATTGATTATATACAGTATACTGAGTGTCCCGAAAGTTCCTATACACAGACCCTTTTTCATAAATAATCATCATAATCTTAGTATATAAGGTTACTTTAAAAAAAAGGCCCATGTATAGGAATTTTTAGAACACCTGGTATAATACAGTACTGCAGTATAAGACCAAGGTACTCTTGGCCCATGTGAACTGGGTCAGAGTATTAAATTTAGGTATTTAGGGTAGGGTTAGAGGTTGGAACCGGTTTTAATAATTCGGGTCTATCACATGAATTTTGTGATATTTTGGAATTTATTAAAATTTAATTGGATAAATTTCTAAAATATCACAAAATTCATGTGATAAACCCGAATTATTAAAACCGGTTCCAACCTCTAGGTAGGGTTAGGGCATGAATATTAAGAACCATTACACAGACAGGTAGAGTTAGGGTACATATACTACCCATCCCTACCCTTCTTATGCAGAGGCTGGATGTTCTATAGAATAGGTGGGCAATATAAAAATAAACTCCACTAATGATTAATAATCATTAATAGTTATTTAGCAGAGTTGCAGAGTTTGCTTACCTGTTCTATAGAACATCCCAGAGGTCTATTAGCAATACACTTAATTGAGATATAACAGGTTTTTAAAATTATTATGAGTCTTATAGTTCCAAACTACTGTATATAGTTCAAACCCAAAATCTGTAGTTCAAAACTGCGTATTTATAATTAAGTATTGGAATAATTGAAATTTAAATCAATAAATAATCTCATTTAATTTCAAAATCTGATTAATCAAAAGTTTTAGTATATAAGTATATATATATGTATATATATTTAGAAAGCTACTAAAGCCAAGTTGTTATTTATGAATTAAGACTAAATAAGATGCATTAGTATATTACTAAAATTAGCTAATACTATAATTTTATAGATTTTAGAAATTATTAGTTATCACTTCTGTGAAATTGGTGTGGGAAAAAAATATTAGTTTGAGTCTTTTATTATATATATGTACATATATATTAATATAGGATCAGTATTTCAAGATTATTATTATCATTTCTTTGAAATCAGTGTGAAAAAAAATTACCAGTTTTAGTTTATATATATATATATAGTAAGTATTCCAAGATTATTTCTTTGGAATTGGTGTGGAAAAAAATTACTAGCTTAAGTTTATATATAGATTTAAGTAAGTCTTCCAAGATTATTGTCACACTTCTATAGAATTGATATGAGAAAATAATAATAAAATTGTTTCTAGCATATCTTTGCTCATCCATCTTTTTGATCTGCTAATTTATATCAGCTTTAATTGATAATCTTCCAGTCAACTGAAGCATACTCTTAGTAAAATATGACTCAGATTACTATATAAATTTACTATAGTGCGAATGTGGCGTTTATCCAAGGTAAACTTTTTTTCATACTAAGTTAATCTTTTTTTTTGCTTAAGAGACTTTTGTAAAGCTTGTCAAAATGCATCTAATAGTGGCTAGAGCATCAAAATCAGCACTAAAATATCTTTAAAAAACCTCTCTTTTACTATATAAATTTCTTTGCAAACAATACTATTGTTTGACTATTGTTTGCAAAGAAGTTTACATATTAAAAGAGAGGGTTTTTAAAGATATTTCAGTACTCACCAGGCTGATTTTGATACTTTAACCACTATTAGATGTGTCTTGACAAGCTTTACAAAAGTCTCTTAAGCAAGAAAGATATTTAACTTAGTATAAAAAAAGTTTATTTTTAGATGAACACCACATTCACACTATAGTAAATTTATATAGTAATCTGAGTCATATTTTACTAAAATTATACTTCAGTTAACTGAAGGATTATTAATTAAAGATGGAATTGGTATGAGAAAATAATATCTCTGCATATCAATCTTTTTGATTTGCTAATTAATATTGACTTGAAAGATGGAATTGGTATAAGAAAATAATATCTCTACTTATCCATCTTTTTGATCTGTTGATTCATATCAACTTGAAAGATGGAATTAATGAGAAAATAATAATAGAATTGTTTTTAGCATATTTCTGCTTATTCATCTTTTCGATCTATTGATTTATATCAACTTGAAAGTTGGTATGTAAAAAGTATGTCTAATCAAAAACAAAACAAGGAACTTATCTAATATTGTATAGTTGTCTTCAAGTGCTCTTTTATTTAACTTTTAATTATAAAATAGCGATAATGCAATTTAAAGATCTTTAATTTGTGTAGCACCAAACTACAATCTAAAAATAATAAGATTTAGTAAAACTCTGCAAAAGTGTATACAAGCAGAACAATAAACCTTTTTACAAGTATTTTCTAAAAAGTTTTTGGTGTTATATATAGCTTTTTCAAATATTTTTTATATTATTTGAATTTTTTTTCATATATAAGTTAAATAGCAAAAAATATTTGAAAGTATTTAAAAAGGTTGCATACACACCAAGAATTTTTAAAAAATTACTTGTTCAAAAGATTTAAAGCTCTACCTGTAGTATATACTTATATAGCTATTATATAAAATTCTTATTATTTTACAAATGAGCAATTTATATACATCAGACTATAATAGTGACTATAATTATGACTATGATAATAACCATAACTACGATAATAATCTTGACCATGATAAACTTAATAATTATGATAATGCTATTAAAAACAAAGTTCTGGGAGTAAGATGTAAAATTATTTTGAAAAAGTTACATGGGAAAAGAAGCAAAAAACTGCTAAATATACTGTAAAAAATTGCAACTATAAAGAGGTTTCATGTGGAAAAGAAGGTACAACCAGACCATTATGGCAGCACTTAGAGTATGCACACTAGAAAATATATACTCAGACAGAAGATTATAAAAAAAAAAAAAAGAAGGTGCAAAAAGAATATAAAACTATTGAAGATACAATTAAAAAAGTAAGTTTTTTTTTTGCATTCAAGTTTTAAACTAATTTAATTAAAATAGTTTATTTCAGCATTATTCAAATATCTCTGTGCCAATTGATAATATAAAGCTTTATCAAATGATTACTACCTGGGTAATCAATTGTCAGCACCTATTTTTAACAGTTGAAGACCTGAATTTATTGAAATTTTATAATATTTAAACTCTAAAGTACAATTGGTTCAGGCTGATGTTATTAAAAATACAATCATGTCACTTTATGATTTAAAAAAACAGAAATTGAAAGTAGTATTACAATTTTGTTAATAATTGGACCTTTCAAGAAGTGATTATTGATTTTGGTTTAGTACTAGAAAGCATGATGGAGTAAATATTGCAAATGGATCCTTTAAGATGGTGGAAGATTTTGAAATTGTATCAAAGATTTTTATATTTATATATTATTATATAAGAGATTCAATCAACTTACTAACAATCACTTTATAGATACTATATTTACCAACAATTACTTACTGACAAGTTTACTTCACCAACAGTTTATTTCACCAAAATTTATTTAATTAGAGGTATAGTTAGTGTAATTTATAAAAAAAACTTGTTAGTGAAAAGAGCTTTGATAAAATAGACTGCTGGTAAATTAAACTTGTTAATAAATAATTGTTGGTGAAATGTAGTGTTTATAAAGTGATTGTCAGTAAAATAATACAGACCTATTAGATAGACTAATATCTGATACAAAATATAAAATTCCGATAACAGAAATTTCTTTGATAGCACTTATATTTTTATTCATAATAATCTATTTATTTTTTTTATAAATTCTTGCAACTACTCTAGATAATGCTCCAAATAATAATGTGTTTGTTCAAGAATTAGAAATAAAAATAAGAAAAGAGTTAGGCATTGAATGGGATTCAGAACAGCTTCAATTTCGATGCTTTAATCACATTCTCAATTTGGCAGTGCAGGCAGCTTTAAATTGTATAAAAGATAATGCTGAAATGGTATTGTTTTAAACTTAGTAAAGATTAATTGGATGTTCTATAGAATAGGTGAGCAGACTCCGCAAACTCAGCAACTCCACTAAATATTTGTTAATGATTACTAATTAATAGCAGAGTTTATTTTTTATATTGCCCACCTTGATTAATTTTTTTTTTTATTAATTAAAAAAATATAATAAAAAAAATAAACAAAAAAAAGATTCAAGAGCTTAACACTGCTATTCGCACTTTGCCTCAATATCTTGAACTTCTTGAAGATGTCTGTAACACATGTTATATAAAATTTATTAAGCCCACTTTGGATTGTCCTACTCACTGGAGCTCCACCCATGGCATGATAAAGAATGCATTATATACTAAACCTGTAAGTTATTACTAATATAGTGAAGCTATTAAAATGACTTTTTAGAATTAATTTTAAATACATTTACTGCATTTTGTAGACACTTAATACCATCACTAGTTCTCATGATGATCTTCAACGATATGCTATTTCACATTATCAGTGGACCATCTTAG